TTTTTTTTTTTTTTTTTTTTGACAAAACATCCCTTGGGGTGCTAGGGGATCACCCCTAGCCCCTAAGAGATACTCCATCTATTGGTGGGGAGCTTCACCTGCTGGAAAGCGGGTCCAGCGTCCCATGTATATACAGCACAACTGAGATTGTCTGAGAACAGTGACCGTGAGGCCTGCCAGCATTGATTGCCCTGGGACCCAGGGGATTAACTGAGCAGGCCTATGCAGTGTACAGGATGTCGTGGGGGGTATTACCCTTCTACATAATAATGATTGAGGGCTGAAAAACTCCAAGCATGTCTGAGTTGCACTTGTGGGGTAGGTAATGGCCAAGTTTAGACCGTCGTGAAACAGGCTATTTTTAATGGAACCCTTACCCCACGGACGCAGCATTGCCCCCCAGTGGTAGTCCAACCCAGTATGAGAATTCCTCTAAATGCATTTGTGAGGATGAATACTCGACAAATCCAACAGCCTTTTTCATGGATTTCAAGGATTTGTAATTAAGCAAGGGGTCAGTCTCCCAGGAAAAGGCCCATGGTGCTCTGCTTCATCTTGGTTGTCAGTTGTCTTCAAATACCTGCTCCGGCCAAGGATACGGCAAAGCCACCACTCTTCCTGCTAGCTTCGGCAGGTGTAACAAACTCAGGGTTTTTCACAATGGTGGTGATATAATAAACTGAAGGTCGCATCTCCCGCCACGTGTTCACCGTCAGCAGATGATTGGCGCGGGCAGACGCTGGCAGCGGACAAGCAACAAAAACAAATTTGAAATTTGAAATTTGAATAAAATAAAGAGCGAAAATGAACACTGGGGAGGGAGTTCTCTTTTGTTGTTTGGGGACTTCTACGACTTCAGAGATTCCCCAAACAAAATTTCGCTCACTTTCCGAAAAGTGCCTTCAACCACCAATAACCGCTGTCTGTCTTCGCAGTGTCAGTGGATGCCTCACCAACGCCATCTTTATGCTCTGTCTTCACGAGCGTCGACACATCATACCCCTCTTTTGTGGCGATGTCTAGCAGCATTTTGTACACCTCGTCACTCATGGAAGGCTCCCTTGATAAGACCTGCAACAACAAAAAAACACGTAACCAGGTACTGCCACGCCATTTGAGAAGCAGAAACTGGTCTGACACACCCTTGGTAACACGGCACAATCCGCAACTGGTTCGAAAAACTTCATAAAAGAAAGGCAAACTGTGCAAACTACACAACAAATGATGATATCCAGGACACATCGACACTTAAACCACCAGTACATCCGGAAAAGGAGGTCGAGCCTCTCCTAAAAGATAGAAGGCCATGAGCCGCCGTTCAATTTTATCGATGGTCCTTGGCCTCCAAACTTTTAGGAGAGGCTCAATCTGCTTTTTCAGATGCACTGCTGGTTTAAGACCTGCAAAGCTTGTCCTAGTATTCAAACAGTTACAAGAAAGAGTACATGATAGCTTTTCCGATCCTGGAAGCTTTCATTATATTGCTCTGTCCTGCATGCTTTGTAGGCCTTCGACCTTTCGCCAGGGAGTGCAATTTGTAATGGCATAGATAATTTTCCTCCGTCTTCCGTTGCTTTGTCTTCTTTCCATTTTTTCTTTCTGTTTATTGCCTCGGAAACGGTTTTCATCTTTGTGGTAGCAGTTGCAGTTCCCAGAGCTCGAGACCTCGCCCTTACCCGTGTACAGTATCAGTCGACCCGTGTGTGATCGAACCCACGAACTGTCTTGAAAGTCGCCTGATTGTTTGCTGTAGGTAGGGTGGTCGTCGGGTCTTGAACCTTAGGTCTGTAGGTTAGAGGTCTTAGCAGTGGTAGGAGTTGTAGCTGCCACAGTGTTGAAAGGTCAAGTCGTAGCTGGTACAGTACTGAAGGGCCAAGTCCACAGTCTTCCGGAAGGTCCGGAACTGGCCCTTCGTGAGTCCTAGTAGGCAGTCCGTAGGCAAGTGGTCAAGTGGGCAGTCTTACCTTGCTCAGTCAGTGGTACCCAGTCCCAGTCGCACCTTGTCAAGTCAGCAAGTACCATGCGGGACTGTGTGGACTTCGGGCCCGGTGGAGAGAGGCAGACCAGTGACAATCCAAAGTATGAATAAAGAGGCAGCGATCAGTCATTCATTCATTCTGCCTACCCAGAATCATGCGACCCTCAATGATCTCGCGGGTCACGTTATGACTGGTTGTGAGGATTGAGTGGAGTGAATTGCACTTTCAGTGTACCCTATCATATCGCATAGTCAAGTCTTCCGCTGTGTTTATCTCTCCCTGTGAGGTCTCATACTCCTATCCTCTCCCCTTCCTTTTGTGTATGTATGGGCATACCTGGGAGTCTATGTGAGTGAGTGTTGGTCTTCAAACAACAGATAACCAGAATCATAATACCTGTGTGGGTACCGGCCGTGTTGGAACTTCATTCAAGCGTATGTCTATGGCGGTTAGAGGTGGGAGAGGCATAGTGGGGTTGCGTCATCCTTTCAACGTCCGTCATGCAGATGGATGTTCCGCCATAGCTAGGGCTGCAACCGGGTGAGGAGGAGTGAGGTTATGGCTGCAAGGAGAGCTCTTCAAGTCCTGGCAGTAAGGGGGAGTAATCAGACAATGAATATGGCACTGCCATTCATTTTTGTTTATTATTATTGTTAACAAGATGGAGGAGAAGTTGAGGGGGAAGATGATGATGACGATGATGAGGGGGAGATGACATTGGCTCCAAGTTGTGCTTATCTTCTTCTTCGTCGTCTTCTACTCTCTGTTCTCCTTTCTCTCTTGTCTTCTTTTTCATTTGAGTTGCAATGGAATGACATTGTCTCTTTGTGAGCTTTTTGCGTGGGAAGTTGACCAAGGATCATAGCGTCTTAAACTGTTGGTCTGCTGGATCAGGAAGGCCTGACTGTTGACTTTACTGGGACCTGGGTTGACATTTCCAGGCCCTGGCCACTCAGTCGGGATGCTATGACCCGAAGCTATTGACCTCAAGCCTACAGCACATGTCCCTATGCTGACTTTTCACGTGGCCAAAAGCTACGACCCAAAGCTTGTTGTACTGTTGGTCTTGACCACGGATCATCAGCGTCAGCGTCAGCTTCATCGTCATCGTCATCGTCATCATCATCATTCTTTTTGTATTTATTTGTTTACTATTGCTATTATTATTACCACCAATTACTAGTCGAAGTCGTAGTGGTTGTGGTGGGCGTAGTAGATAGCAGTAGTAGTCTAGTAGAAGTGTTAGTGGTAGTAGTGGTAGTAGTAGTGGTAGTCTGCACATGCTTTGATTGGATGATCGTGACTCTTCTGCAACTGAATTCATTCGTGCTTTGATCTTGGTCATGAAAGATTGCTGTTCTGCTAGATTGCAAGTCATTTCTACACTTGTACCTTACATATCAATCCATCCATCAATGCTTGCATGCCCGTCACTACACCTAGGCATTGCACGCAGGCATTGTGTACACACATATAGGCATTATGTATGCACACACAGACGCATAACATACACACACACATTCATTTCCTCTGGATCAGTTCCTGTCGTCGTCTGTCCACAAAGAGGAAATGATGACTGCGGAAACCCAAGAAACCTGCTCAATGTCGCTCATGATGGCCCACCTGAGATTCGGCTAACATGTGATTCACATGCGTTGTGTTGTGCGGATTATGAAGGCATAGTCCATGCAAGTTTTTGTTTTCATATTTATGATGACAATCAACATTGCACCCATGTAAGCCACCCTGACATGTGTTACATGCTGCGCCTGCAACAGGCTGCACGGGCCATTTTCAGGCCCGTGTCATTTTCAGCCTGAAAGCCTGAAAACGAGGGCCTACAGACCCCGTGTTGTTTTCAGGCAAAAAGCCTGAAAACAAGGGCCTACAGGCCTCGTGTCAGTTCCAGCCTGAAAGCCTGAAAACAAGGGCCTACAGGCCTCGTGTCAGTTTCAGCCTGAAAGCCTGAAAACAAGGGCCTACAGGCCCCGTGTCAGTTTCAGCCTGAAAGCCTGAAAACAAGGGCCTACAGGCCCC